GTCTGCAGTGTTTCAGACTGGTGGTTTCTTCCATAGCTGCTGTAAAGAAGATCTTCTGCAGGACGAATAATTACACAACCGCAACATTTCGACACAGGAAAGTAATACAACGTATTGTAATTCAGAACACCATGTCTTTTTTTGTCTTTTTCAGACTATTAGGGATCTTAAAAATATGCGGTATGCGAAACATAGGGATTACAATCCGGCAGCGGCAGAGTTAACTATTTGTATGAAGCTTTATATTTCAGAGGGTATAGAAGACCTGGATGTTTCATACCTAGGATACATATGCCTTATGTTTCGAAGTTTCCGTCTGTTGTCCCTGACCTCATTTTCATGGTTCAGTGACTGCTTGAAAAAAAATTATCACTCATTATAAGTAACAGGATAACTATATTTGGTATATGGGTTCCTTTCAAGTTCTACATGTTCGTCAGACAGAATTCACCTGACCTCGACCTCATTTCATGGATCAGTGATCAAGGTTAAAGTTGCGTGATTAGGTCCGTTTCTCAGATACTGTAAGCAGTAGGTCAACTAAATTTGGTGTATGAAATGATTGTAAGGTGTACATGTCAGTCTGGCAGGTTTCATCTTACCTCGACCTCATTTTCCAGGCCTCTACATTATCATTTTTTCTAACTTGTCCCTTCGGACAAGTTGCAAGAAAATCAACTTGTCCGAACTCTTAACTCACTTGTCCGAATTCATAAATGAAAATCTTACATATTGATGATTTGCAATAATAACACTTGCGCTTTGATTGTACCTAATAAAGGGAGCATTTTGTTCATTTTAGTATTTCAGACTGAAAGATTATTTGCAAGACTGAGTTCTCTGACTCAATGTCACTATCATGTGTCGATCATTAAATCATTATTTCTTCCCAAACCACTAGGTTCTCCTATGGACCTATTCATTCTGTAGTAGTGGTATGGGTTAAACCAAGGATGTAAATACACCTGGCCACCTTGTATATAATTAAACCTTTTTAATTTATTGATGGTGTCAAAACAAGCTTTTACAATTTATTTTGATTTTTATATACATTGATAATGATCATGAAGTACATAAAACATTTCACTAAAAAATCTGCCTTTTTAGATTTTATTTAATTTTTACATCTTAAGCATTATTTTAATATATAGATCTTATCAAATAAAACCTCTTTTAATGTATTGTTATGCATAAAAGCAAAATCAAATGAAACATACTTTAATTTGAAATTTTAAAGTTAAGGTAAAACTCCATATGGAGGTGCTCCTAATTCAAGGAGGCTTATACTAAGAAGAAGCATTAACATTGGTTTCTTTCCCCCTTACTTATATCCCCCTGGTCAATGGCTGCCAGCATGTTCAAATACGTTCAATCAGAGACATATAATACAAGTATTATATGTCTCTGGTTCAATCAATGAGTACTTATTTCATTTTGTATCAACAATAAAACAATCATTCATATTTTTGGGAATGTATAAGTCTTGAATTTGATCTATTTTACATCTGACCTCGATTTTTCACTTGTCCCATCGGACAAGTAGTATGGTGAATCTACTTGCCCGACGCCTATGTCCACTTGTCCCGGACAATCGGACAAACGATAATGTCGAGCCCTGTTTTCACTGTTCATTGATTAATGTTACGTATTTGTGTTTTGGCCTGTTTTTTCTAATACTATAAGCAATAGGTCAACTATATTTGGTGTATGGAATGATGTAAGGTGTACATGTCTGTTTGGCCAGGTTTATCTTATCTTGACCTCATTTTCATTCTTCATTGGTCAATGTAAAGGTTTTAAAGTTTGGTCCGTTTCTTTTATACTACAGGCAAAAGGTCAACTATATTTGGCTTATGGAATGATTTTAAGGTGTCCATGTCTGGCTGGCTTGGTTTATCTGACCAGGAACTCATTTTCACAGATCACTGATAATTTCAAGTTTATGTGATACTTGTAGCAAAACTTTATGTTAAGGACTATCAACATAAAATCAACCATGGTTAGTACAGCTGGCGAGCCATTTCAGCGTGTGCACTCTTAATTTTTCTTGCGGTATTTCCTTGCCATTGATTCAAAAACTATAGGAGCTAGGTTAAAAGTGTAAATGGCAAAATTTATACCAGCATGACAAGGTGAGTCCATCCTGAAAATCAAACTTGTTTTGGAGTTATTGCCCCTGAAATATTGATTTTTCCCAAATTTTGTCTCGCCTGCAACGAAAGTCTCAAAAGTGAGACATAGGTGTTTTTTATTTTCCGGCAGTGGCGACATGACAAATCATCAATTATTGTTCGATCCGAAAAAAAATGGATTTGAATTACGAGATAACACGAATTGGGAATACGAGATAACGGATTATCAATACGATATCACGGATTGGGAAACCGAGATAATGGACTAACATATGGACTTATTTTAGTCAAAATATAACTAGACTTTTTCCTTGAAATTATTACATTAACTGCCTTTATGCTGCTATCCTTCAACAACCGAAACAAACCATCTGATGAGATGTAATATTCAGAATTCAGCGAGATGCTCTTTTTGACATTATAGTGGCAATTTATAAATGAATGGAGAAACAAGAAAGTTAATTGCTAAATTTTTACTTATTCTTAAAAAATAATTTTATACAAAAATGCACAATATATATATATATATATATATATATATATATATATATGTACATGTACAACAAGACAATAATAAAATACATAAAAACGATAATAACATAATACATAATACAATAGCTAGGCCGATTAACATAAGCAAAGGGGTCAACTTAGCCGATATAAAAAAAATAACAGTAGAACATGCGACATTAATTGACAAAAATAGAGATGTTCACAAACCAAAGATGTCTTAATTAACCAAATTAAATCACCCAGTATATAAAATCATATATCTAAATTTGAATTAGAGGGGTTGAAAAGGGGGATGGAGGGAGGGAAAATTTATAAAACTTGTACTAATTCGTAAAAAAAAAATCTCATACCAAAACACACAATACTAGTATATCTACATCTGTACAACAAGATAATAATGAATGTAAATACATAAAAACGAAAATAACATATTACATAATTCGCGAATTGCAATCTCTATGGATATATGTGTTTTTTTCCTGGGATAAAACTTTAAAAAAAAAAACACACAATATATCTACATCTGTACAACAAGATAATAATGAATGAAAATACATAAAAACTATAATAACATATTACACAATTCAATCATAAATGGATATATTTAAAATAACAAGAGAATCGCGAATTGCAATCTTTATGGATATAAGCATTTTTTTTTCCTGGGGTGAAACTTTAAAAAACAAAAAATCCTCCTTAGAAACATTACGGATCTTTAATGCAATGGCATTCGGCTTTGAACAAATAATTTCGGAATCACGAGTTAAGATTATTTAGCCAAAAGCACTTATAAAAGATAGATTACTAGGTTTAGATAATTATGATGAATGCTCAAAAAAGCATGTCCAGAAATAAAACAAATGAGTATTCGTACCTTTTTATTGGGTTACATATAAGACCTGCGGACTTTATAATAAACAGTGATCTTGTCCATTCTAAGACACACTTTAGAGCATGGATTGGGTAAGGTTAAAAATATGGCGTAAAAGTAGTCACGGAGATGTTGTTTTCCGTGCCCGGAAATTTAGAAACGATCCTGGAAAAACTCATCGATCCTTTAAAAAAACTTATGCTAAAAGGTTACAATTCAACACTGTCATTAGATCTTTGAATATTGTTTTTATTGGTATTAATATTGATTTTGTTATCAGTAAGTTGACAGCAAACTAAATATCATTGTTAAATACATATGCACTTTCATGGATCTACAATCTGTCGATTCCCTGTATCTTGGCATTGCACAAGGTAATATTTTTCTCTGATTTTTTTATGACGTCTTTACACTAAATCCATTGGATGTTGGATGTGTACTGATTGATAATTTAGTCTTAGATTCATGATTTTTTCTATTAGTTGTTATTGGCTTTGAACTAGCTGTCTGTAACTGCGAGTACTCTCAGATCTGTACTTGGTATCTTTTTGTTGTTGGGATGTACAAGTACCCGGCTACGTCCACTCTGTGCTTTTGTTATATGTATTTCTATTTGTATCCATCTGATGAGTTAAGCCTTTTTCAACTCATTTTTATAGTTCGTTCTTATGTTGTACTGTTATACCACTGTCCTAGGTTAGGGGGAGGGTTGGGATTCCGCAAATATGTTTAACCCCGCCACATTCTGTATGCATGTGCCTGTCCCAAGTCAGGAGCCTGTATTTCAGAGGTTGTCGTTTGTTGCTGTGTTACATATTTGTTTTTCGTTCATTTTTTTGTACATTAATTAGGCCGTTAGTTTTTCTCGTTTGATTTTTTTTGCATTTGTGATTTCGGGGCCTTTTATAGCGGACTATGCAGTATGAACTTTGCTCATTGTTGAAGGTGACTTATAGTTGTTAATTTCTGTGTCATTTGGTCTCTTGTGGAGAGTTGTCTCATTGGCAATCATACCACATCTTCTTTTTTATATTTACACTTCTGTTATAAACTTGATATTTATCCTAAAAACATAAACTCAAAAATTGCATGTCATATTTCCAAGAAAGTGATAGAAAGGCTTTAACTTTTACATGACCTTCAAAATTTAATAGCTGTGAAAATGATAAAATAATTATTGAGGAGATGTTTTTGTTCTATTTAATGAAACTATGGAAGCATAATTAGAAACAAATGCATTTTTAAAAATGTGTTATACTTTGCAGACTTGTAGCTAAAGAGCATCTTGAGAATGTTATCTGATAGATTTGTGATTTTCTAATGCAATGGGTTACTATATTTGTCTTTGTCATTTATACTCCAAAGCATTAATTTTACTTATTGCTTACAAAATGTGTTCGGCAAAAAACAGAACTAACATAATACAGCAACTGATAACAAAACTTACATAAAATATAAAGAAACAATAGCTACAACTGCTAATTTATTTACTTCAAAATATGGAGAATCTAAGCGACGGTAATGTTTGCCTAGTAGCTAATAGAAAAGTTGTTCAAGATGAATGCTATTAAATTGTTTTTAGTAATTAGATGATTACGTGTAACAAATTGAAAGTTCAATATCCTTACTATGACTCAAAATTTGTATTAATCTTGAACATCTAATCACACATGAAATAAAGATGTCCACATACATATCATATATTCTACAATGTTATAGCATTACATATAGCACTAAATATAATTGAGAAAATATTACAGTAATCTTTTCTCGATGACACTAGGTCGGTTTCGTTGGAGAAGAGTACTTTTTTCAATATATAGGCTACTTTCTTCTAAATATACACGGTAAACCTATATTTGAATTTATCACAGAATATTTTTTATCCATCAGACATCTAGTATAAAGGAATATTGCTCAATACTCGAACACACAGGTACATGTAATACTTTTGGAATCGGAGTGTGACTGTCCTTCTAACATCGTTTGCATTCTATATTTATTCGAAAAAGGGGTTGCTTCCTCTCTAAAGCCATCGTCAATGTCGTCGGCCTTTAAAATATCACCTTAAAACACAACAAAATAAATATATATTAGTTGATCATTCAAAATATGTTTCACTATAATAAAACGATTTTGTTGAGCCGATCTTAAAACGGCAGTAAACTAAATAAATCGATAAAATTCAATATTTCTGTCCATTTTCAGAAAAAATAACTGCCAGAAGATCTCTTAGACGAAAAACTAAAACTTGCATGGAATTTTGCATATGCTGCTCACTTATTGTCTTTCTGACTGTTACTTCTTGTGTTTCTATCATAAAAAAAACACAGAAATACAATCCGATATATCGATTTTCAGGTTTCATCATCTCGATGTAGTAAAATATCGGCTGCTCGACACTATTTGAGGTCTTTTCCTTTAAAAGCTCCTACGTTGCGCTCACTCAACAAAAAAAATGCATATCGTGACTCCCAGATGATTTTTTACAATACCATGATAATCGATATTTATGGATTTGTCTATTCATGTGATATTTGGAGTTGGGCATTGACCAGCCACTATATTCAACAACCAATCACTTTGTTTAGCGTCAACAATAATATCGGGATTTATTATCATATCCTGGTAGATACTAAATTATCGAATATACTGTATATATTCATACATTTCAGATAATTATATCAAAATGACGAAAATATCACACGATGGATATAATTTACTTTAAAAAAAATGTGTTTACTTGTAGCTACAAATTAGTGTAGTCATAACCTATACAGAACCTATTTTGAGAATACGTTGTTAGTGTCCAGCTGTCAAACAAAGTATTTTTGTCGATAGTTACATTTTGTAAATAGTTTTTACTTTGGATTTTTATTGTATGTACTATATTTAAAACAAGAGGCTCATGAGAGCCTTATATCGCTCACCTGCAATCTCAGTTTCAGGCATTTGACTTATTTGTAGATCATACTTTGCTGAACAATTTTGTCATTTACACTTTCTATAATAATATTAAAGATAATACATAACCCAAAACTGTAAAATTTCCTAAAAATTATCTATTTCTGGACAGTAACCTAACAATAAGTTGTCCTATTGGTCTGAAAATTACTTGACAGATTGATCTAAACCTGTTTAACACTTTCACCTATGTCAGTTTTGCTCTTGCTGCTTTAGTTTTTGAGATAAAAAAACAAACATTTCATTTGGCCCCTATGTTCTATTTTTAGAAACTGCCGCCATGTTTTTTGAATGGATCAAATTAATCCCCGAATACAATCTATAAACTGGATACCCTAAGGAACACTCAATTAAAGTTTTTAGGGTGTGGTCAAGTAGTTTTAGAGAAGAAGATTTTTGAAAAGGTAATTAGACTTTCACAAAAAAATGTAAAAAAAAAAATGTTTTAAGGGCAATCACTCCTTAAGGGGTCAATTGACTATTTTGATCATGTTGCCTTATTTATAGATCTTACTGTGCTGAACATTTATTGCCATTTGTGCTTTCTCTCTATCTAATATAATATTAAAGAAAATAACCAAAACAGTAAAGTTTAATAACAATAAACTATTTCCAACAGTAACACAACAATGGGTTGTCGAACGTGTCTTAAAATTTCATAACAGAGAGATCATGACCCCCTTATCACTTTAACTCCCTTTCACTTTTTCTCTGTCTGCTGTAGTTTTTGAGATATAAGCCAAAAACTGCTTTTGTCCCCTATGTTCTATTTTTTAGCCATGGCAGCCATGTTTGTTGATGGATCAAAACTTCGGATACAATTTACAAACAAGATATCCTAAGGAACATTCAGTTAAAGTTTGGAAGTATTTGGCCGAGTAGTTTCAGAGAAGAAGATTTTTGAAAAAGTAATAGACTTGCACGAAAAAATGTAAAAAATAAACGTTTCAAGGGCAATAACTCCTTAATGAGTCAACTGACTATTTTGATCATTTGTTTTATTTGTAGATCCTACTTAGCTGAACATTTTTGCTATTTATACTTTCTCTCTATATATCATAAAATTAAATATAATAACCAAAAACAGTAAAATTTCATAAAAATAAACTATTTAGACAGTAAACCTGCAATGGGTGGTCCAATTGGTCTGAAAACTTCATTGCAGATAGATTTTGACTTATTCATTACTTTAACTCCATGTCACGTTTGCTCTAACTGCTATAGTTTTTGCGATAAAAACAAAAAAAACTGCATTTGACCCCTATGCAATATTTTTAGCCATGGCGACCATGTTTAATAAAGGATCACAACTTCGGATACAATTTATAAACCAGTTACCCTAAGGAACATTCAGTTAAAGTTAAGAAGTATTAGGCCCAGTAGTTTCAGAGGAGAAGATTTTTAAATGTTAGCAAACATAATGAACAAATTGTGTAAAAGGATCTTTAAAGGGCAATAACTCCTTAAGGGTTCAATTGACAATTCTAGTCATTTAACTTTTTTGTAGAACTTACTTTGCTGTTTACAGTTCATCTTTATCTTCAAAATATTCAAGATAATAACCAAAAACTGCAAAATTTCCTTAAAATTGTCTATCTAATGGCAGCAACCCAACAATGGATTGTTCGGTTCGTCTAAAAATTTCAGGGCTAATAGATTTTGACCTATTGAACATTTTAACCATCTGTCAGATTTGCTCTAAATGCTTTAGTTTTTGAGATATAAACCAAAAACTGCATTTGACCCCTATGTTCTATTTTTAGCCATGGCGGCCATTTTTGTTGATGGATCAAAACTTTGGATACAGTTTATAAACTAAATACCCTAAGGAACATTCAGTTAAAGTTTGAAGGTATTTGGCCTAGAAGTTTCAGAGGAGAAGATTCTTGAAATAGTTTACGACGACGGCGACGACGGACGACGACGACGACGACGACGACAGACGATGGACGCCAAGTAATGGCATTAGCTCACATGGGCCCGTCGGGCCCTGGTGAGCTAAAAAGTAAACAATTAATTGCATACGAGTTCCTCTAAACAAATTTTTATTATTATTATGAAAGCTTAAAACAATATTTTGGAATTTAATATAAAGTTTGCCAAAATATACCTTTCTAAACTCAAATCATGGTTTTTCTCTCCTCAGAAGTAATGTTGCTTTTATATTCACTTTCATCTGTAAACATAAAAATATTGTAATGTTGATATGATATCTACTAAATTTGTCATTGTTATTTTGTATGTGCAGTTAAAAACGATTAAACTCGATTCTTTTATACAGATCAAGTTAGAGTAAATACTTAATTAAGTTTTACAATATGATAAAAGCAATACATTTAACGTTAATTCATTACTTTCTGAAATTGTACTAAGCGGGCTAATACGAAAAAAATATCAACTGGTTGCAACTATTATGGCATGTCTGTTCGTAATGTTATCACTCGACATGTTCCGGAAAGTACACCTCAACTTTACAATTTCCATGAAAAAGGTTGAAATGAGAAAGGCACAGAAACAGGAAAATATATAAAAATTCGTAAGGGTTCCGCGGAACCCAGTGTCTCGCTTACTTTTGCTGTTAGTCGCAGGCTCAACAAAAATGGTGAAAAATTATTTAAAATTATTCTCTAGATACTATCTTTTGATTGTAGGAAGTTCTGTTCAAGTTTGGTAAAAATCCACGAAGGTTTATGAATCTAATAAATGTTTTAAAAACTTTAACTGCAGACTGTACGTAATGTTAACTGAAATAAAACTAAGTCCATTTATAAGTAATAAACGGAAAAACAGGAAATAAATTTTTACCAAATTTCCCTCTAGATACTAGCTTTTGATCATAAACAAGCTTCTGTCCAAGTTTGGTACAAATCCAGGATAGTTTAAGAAAGTTATTAAAATTTTGAAAGCTTTAACCACAGAGTGAATGTAATGTTAACTGGCAGAAAAACTAAGTCCATTTATAAGTAAAATACGGATAAACAGGATTTTTTTTTAACAAAATTTACTTTTGAATACTATCTTATGATCACAAACAAGCTTCTGTCCAAGTGTGGTACAAATCCAGGATAGTTAAGAAAGTTATTAAAATTTGAAAAACTTTAACCACAGAGTGAATGTTATGTTAACTGGCAGAAAAACTAAGTCCATATATGAGTAAAAAATGGATAAACAGGATTTTTTTTTTAGAAAATTTACTTCTGGATACTATCTTATGATCATAAACAAGCTTCTGTCCAAGTTTGGTTGAAATGCAGGATAGTTTAAGACAGTTATTAAAATTTGAAAAACTTTAACCACAGAGTGAATATTTGTGGCCGCCGCCGCCGCCGCCGACGACGCCGACGGAATGTAGGATCGCTATGTCTCGCTTTTGCGACAAAAGTCGCAGGCTCGACAAAAATGCAAAACAAATAAAAGAAATAGATGGATTTTTTCGGATTTTTTAAACTTTTGAATGTTATATGAAAGTGCCACCCAGTTCAAACTCTTACATCATTTGCAGTGAATTGCGGTTTGTCTAAATTGTTCAAGTAGATATTTGTAGTACGAAATATCAGTGTAACATTCTTAAACAATTTAATGACTTTTGAGTTTTCTATGGTTAAACATATATTTAATTCATGTAATCTCATATATATTCAACTGCCTATGGAGTTGACTTGCAGTATAAACTTTCTTGTTCCGATAGCCTTTTTTTTTAATTAAATCAATTGTTGCAATTTTTTTTTATAAGTTGAAGAACATGTATAATTATGATAAAGAGATCTCGCGTTAATATCATAATGGCATACTGCTGATGGTACAACTGATATCAAAGCTGACATGTATATACTATATAGATATAAGAAGATGTGGTATGAGTGCCAATCTGATATTACCAACCGACAACAAAACTGCTATATGTAGATGTATATGCTAGTTACTCTTGGCTGGGAAAAAAGACTATTACACACTGTTCTGTAACATCGCAGAACTAGCATTATGATTCAACAATCATACTTATTGACGCAAATTAGTCATAGTTACTATTTGGCGTCAGTCCAAAACATCAAAGAAACGATTACATCGTCCTGAATATGCATGAAATATTTGCCACTGGACGTTAAGCAACCAACAATCAATCAATCAAAGAACGATTACATCTATCTTCGTATTTTACATTCTGAATGTAGTGGTACAGTTATTACAAGCAAAATAAAAAAAAAAAAGACCTTTAAAAAACTTACATTTTTCTTTCCTTTTCTTTCGTTTTGAATACATGTATATCAAAACTGATACAACTGCTGTAACAGTTATAATGGTTACAATATATGCTGCAAGTACCGCACTATTTCTTGATCTTCTGTTTTCTGTAAAAGGCTAATATATTTACTAAAATTACAATGTAACAAACGAAACATTAACATCTGATTTCTAGAAGCAATAAATGTCAGTGTAATTTAATTTAAAAGTTGATTCAACGTAGTAACACGAAATTAATTTCGATTGTTGTAAACATGTATCCATATACATTCAGCAGCAGGTCAGTCAATCATCCCTATCTAATAAAAAATGTATTAATTTTCTGTACAATAAAAACTTAGCATTATTGTTTATATATCTCGCAGTTACAAATTCTATTTATGAACCATAAACCCGTAGAAATAATTCAAAAGTAGGTATAGTCTCGTATGTGGTTGATCTATGCTAAAACTTTGCTCCTCGTGATTTTTGCCATGCGGTATCTGCTCATAAAACAAAAACATGTTATAGTATCTTCTCATAAAACACATACATGTTATCATTACTCTATTAATTTTAATTGTTAAAGGGGCACTTAAATGATAATTCGCTTTTAGCAGCCAGTATGGTTCAATTTTGTCAAAATAAGCTAAGAAACATCAATGATGAAATATCACATGCAAGTGAATAATCCGACCTCATTGAATCCGTATTCATGTGACCTTCAATTTAATCCCTTAGCTAGAGATGGATTACGCATGCGTTATGTGTGTTCAGTTATTAAAAGGAAAAGAATGTCAACATTGAAATTGAAACAAAGGTAAATCATTTGATTGACTGATTCGATCAACAAAAACCCATTTTTTTACAGGAAAAAACGATAACATGAAATCAAACAGACATTGAAAAATCCAATTGCACGAGGTCGCTATCTTTTTATATTTTCGTTTATGTTTATATCGTGTTATGTGACCGTCGTCAGTTTTCGGAGGTCATCTCTATAGTTAATTAGATGGCGTTTAGATTAAAATACACACAAAATTCTGATATATGTTAGCTACATGTAGTACATGTATATGCATTGTAAACTGTTCATATCCAGAAATCAACGCCACTTTGCTTATTTGAATATTATACTAAAGAAATCGGATACGGGTCACGGAAATTATATTGAAATGATAGGGAATTTTAAAAAATATGTCTGTTTTAACTTTAATTTAAGTGATAGACAGGTTGCGGGGACAGAAAATAAATATACACAACAATATACACCATTTAAACGAAACATAATGACTGTCGTTGCAAAAATCAAGGTTCCTGAGCTATTTTAAAAATCGAAGCGAGAGGCTTTTAACATTGCAGTATAAAATACAGGCAAAAATGGCTGAAACGTCAAATTTGCAAACTTCGTGTTGAAAATATTGGCTAACAAGGTCATTACAAAAACAGGTTGCGGGGATGAAACTTGAAACTTGAATGTCCAAAGAATAAGCAAGTCCAAACCTTGTATGTGTAGTCGTTGAAGTCTAGGTTCCCACGTTAAGTTAAAATGCCCCTATTTCAAGAAGAATAAACTCACGAAAAAAACGAACAATTCACTAAATATTCGCGTTCATTGTTTTGATTTTGACCGCCTGACAACTTTACGGAAATATCAGAGTGATTATAAACAAGGACTATGTGACGGGAAACTTATAATATCCGTGTTTTAAAGATTTTTATGATATCAAGCCAGTCCAGTTCAAACTATTATCACGTGGTACAATTCTCATTTACATATTATGAATATTAATTTGCAAAAGTACTACTAGTTTCTGGCTATGTTATTTCAGACTTTTTATAATTTGGATATGTGTTTTAGTATGTTATAAATCAAATATGAGAATTTGAGTCAAATCGGTGAACCTGATTGTGACAGCTAGTGCCCCTTTAACAAAACACGCATTATTCTAATTAAACGGATAAATTGACTAACCGTTTATTATGAGTAAACATCTGTCGATTGGCTTCATGACAGATATAGTAATCTGTTACACAGGAACTGTGAAAGAGAATCGTATAGTGAGAACACAAACTTTTAACATTTACCATTCTCATTTGAAACATTCATGGTTAAGTACTTGCATACTTGTAATGTCCAGAGGTGGATTCAAAGGGGGCTTACGGAGGTACATAGGTTTACTTATAAAGTAAATGCATAGACTTTTCACATGCCCATCTCCATACGTTGCCTAGTTTCGGGGCCACGGACCCCCTTTACAAAATTATAGATCCACATGTGATGTCAGTACTATGAACTAATGAAACGTCCTCAATGACTTGTATATACATTTTAAAAATACGCAAAGTTGAAATTGAAAAGTTTCGAATGTTCGATTTATCCGGATTCTTGCTAATATTTTAATTTGGTTTTGTTTGCTGTTTTATTTGTTGATTCCAGAATTGAGTATTACATATAGACACGAAAATACGGAAATGGGGGTTAGGGGTTTGAATGGGGCTTAATTTAAGTGAAATATCATCCCAACAAACAAACACATTAATTGAAATATCATCCCAACAAAAAAACAAACAACAAACTTTTGTTTTTCATAACTGTATCAATAAAAATATAGAGAACAACATGTACAAAATGTTCTAAAATATTTTTCAAATACGAAATATTTTTTTGTTTGAACTACATGCTGATCCAATTTAGGTTCAATAGTTTCTGTACATACATGTATGTATGTTACATACATGTAGATGGTATCTTAACATATGCAATATTGTTAGGACATAGCTTTATTAGATTATGTTATTGTTTAGCTGGACATAAATTGACTGTGAAGATTTTTAACTATAAGCTCAATTCTGAATGATATTTCCTATGGATAAAAACGATAAGACATTACACTAATATATTCTAGATTATACTTAACAGAAAACAAGAGGTTGAGTAACATTACTCAAATAAAACACCAATGATGACAAACATTTCGTACTTCAGCAGATAAAATATTTCTATCTTAAGATTGTTCGCTCCTAAGTTTCAAAATAACAAGTTATTTAAACAATATTATAAATTGATAGTGTATTACTAACGGAACTTAAGCAGAATATCAATTGATTATTTCGCGGGAAATGATTTTCTTTAGGTTTTTCATACATTTAACATTGGCACCTCTTTCTAATGAAAAGCTTTGAAAAAATAAGAAGGATTTTCTAAAATTTCAAAAATGGCTTTAAAACTATATGTTACAAAATTATTAAAAGAAAAGTAGGGGTTAGCGGACAAAAATTCAATTAGCACTACATTGATAAAACTAGAGGATTCCGAAAATCTGACAAAACGTCAAAAGCAAGAGTATATAGCAAAACATCCTTAAATAATCGCATGGTATTTCATTTCCGAGTTAAATAGAATGGAATTGTAGTAAGCGGGAAGAGGTCAAATATGTGACCAACTATCATAATGACATATATATAATTATATATATATATATATCTATATATATATAGATATATATATATAAACAAGTCTAAATTGAAAACAACGTTCAAACCTATGATTGCGTTGGATAAAAACCGCAATTTTTATACGTGTGCATGCAAAACAAATTTCTTGTTAGAGGGGTCTAAATACAGCACAAACAACATTTTTCAAAAGACCAAAAAAGTGAAAAGGTATATTTTAACAAAACGCATTTGACTAACAGGTCGAACAACAGATGTTCTTAAACCCTGCTGACTGCCATTGGTGATTACCAAATGAACGGATCCCCAATGTAATAAATGGATTTTAATTATAAAATTATTATTAATACTAAACAGAAACTAGTAAACTTGCGGAAAAGATGATATACCGCAAACAAAAGGTGCAAAGGTTTTTGTACACCATATCCGGATTTCGACAATTAATGTCTCTTCAGTGATGTTAGGAATCGAAACGGTATTTGGAAAGCCATACAATTTACCTCAATTTAGGATATATATATAAATTATATATATATTTTCAATTTAGACTTGTTTTTATATATATATATATTCAAACACTGTAGACCAAATATTAATATAGGCGTTCATACAGTTTACAAGACAAGAGTGCACACGCTGAAATGTCTCGCCTTCTTTACTAATCATTGATATTATGTTGATAATCCTAAATATAAAGCTTTATTACAACTGTCACATAAACTTAACATTAACCAAGTAAACTAAACATTGACCAATGAACCATTAAATGAGGTCAAGGTCAGATGAACCATGCTAGGCAGGCATGTACAGCTAAAAATTCTTCCATACAACAAATATAGTAGACCTATTGCATACAGTATAAGAAAAACAGACCAAAACACAAAAACTTAACTATAACCACTGAACCATGAAAATGAGGTCAAGGTCAGATGACACCTGCCAGTTGGACATGTACACCTTACAGTCCTTCCATACACCGAATATACTAGACCTATTGCTTATAGTATCTGAGATATGGACTTGACCACCAAAACTTAACCTTGTTCACTGATCCATGAAATGAGGTCGAGGTCAAGTGAAAACTGTCTGACGGGCATGAGGACCTTGCAAGGTACGCACATACCAAATATAATTATCCTATTACTTATAATAAGAGAGAATTTAACATTACAAAAAATCTTAACTTTTTTTCAAGTAGTCACTGAACCATTAAAATGAGGTCAAGGACATTGGACATGTGACTGACGGAAACTTCGTAACATGAGGCATCCATCAACAAAGTATGAAGCATCTAGATCTTCCACCTTCTAAAATATAAAGCTTTTAAGAAGTTAGCTTACGACGCCGACGCCGTAGCCTCCGCCGCCGTAGCTGCCGCCGCCGGATCACTATCCCTATGTCGAGTTTTCTGCGACAAAAGTCGCAGGCTCGACAAAAACCAATTCAATTTTCATTGAAACAGCAACCCTATACATGCTATAGGTTGCATTTCTGTAAATATAGACAATGCAATTTCCCACAGGAACTCCTTTTACGGCTAAAACTGTACCACTTTTACTATGAAGTTTCGAAAAAAAATATATCCTAGAATGGAAAGCTCATATGTACTACTATTTTTTTCAAAGTTCAAAATATAGTGCTTTGCGGCGTATTTTCAACATTTATATGCCACGAACTTCTAAAGGCTTAAACTTGTACTTAAGTTCTGTACTACCCCTGCCTTCACTGTTGGTCTCCCTCAGAATTCAAGGCTGTCGCTATATTTTTTTATTTATACTGGTAACATTCCCAAGTTATGTCTCTATGAGATGAAAAATAGAGATAATATCTGGGAACCAGTACGTAAACAAAACAATTTATCTATGAATATTATATATCTCCCCAAAAGAGGCGTGGTTTGTGAAACAGCTGTATTTACAAAGTGCAACCTCTAGTATGATTTTAACGTTAGAAAACGTCAGTCATTATACATCGTATGAACTAAAATATCTATAGTTGTTATCCAGGGGCTATTGCATCTTGTAAAAGGTTCCTACATAAGTGAAAGAAAAAAATAAAGCATTGCCAATGTCTCATGGTTTGTCAAAAATATAGTATGCATGACTGTGTATGTATTAGTCACTGCTTAGTATTTTGAAGTCTTATCAACACTTGTGATCAAGATCGACAGTAACAGCACGTTAAATTTTTCGGTAAATAAACTTCATTTAGTATATTGCAAAAGGTGTCGTTGAATTAAAAAAAAACTCATCATTGATAACAGGATTGAAATTTTGTACGCAATGTGGCGTTAAATGTCAGCTCCTTCTCAACAAATATTACAAACAAGAGTATGTACGCAACAACCGGTCTTTAAGAATCATCAAAATTTATACAGACAGTATACTTTTGTTTCAAGCAAACTGTTGAACTATTAGAAAAATAAAATGAACGATCTGGTTAAAGAAAACAGAGAAATAAAAACAAGCTTATAACCATCTACAACCACAAGACTGAAGGCTCTTTGTCTGGGTTAAATTAAATATACCTTCCAGTTTGCAAATTTCAACCTTTTCTGTAGGTATGATATACTCTTTAATACACTGACATACTACTATTACTTGTTGACTGCATATTAGATCGTATGATGATTGGTGGCGCAAACTAACAGCATAGTAGTTGCCATTTCTGGTAGTTGCTACTGCATCAAATCGAAAACTAGAATCCTTTAACAAAATAATGTAATTTAAAAACTTAAATATTATTAAAAGCGATATATACATGTAGCAGCAACCTATATATTATAAAAGCATTGAGCAGTATGATGCACTTGGATGAAATATATCAACTGGACTATCAAAACCCATTAATCGACAAAACAATTGTTAAAACAAATAAATCATAAATAACCAAAACTATAAAGCAAATTTTTATATTGACGCCACCTCATATCATGTTATGGTCTCATCTATGTCATTATGTATTGACTACCACACTATACAAAAACGTCACATTTTGCTTCATCTTGGCTTCTGGTAAATTATATGTAAGTGATCTACAACTAGTCTAGATATAAGAAGATGTGGTATGAGTGCCAATTTCTCGTCCTGAATATGCTACAATAATTTCCATTGGACGTAAAGGAAGCAACAATCAATAAATCAAGTTGATATCCAAAAACCATTAGTTGCAGACACATTGACGACGGTTGAAAAGACCTACGGATAAACCGACGACTTTATGCATCCTTAAATTTTTTTTAGAACGCACAAAATAATCTACTTGTTTTCTGGCAGTTAAATATACCTGTGAACAACCGAACGATTAATAAAACAGATGGATACAGAAGTTTCGAAATCAATGTTACTCTAAATTATGATTTGAAGCAGTTTAAATTTCCAGTGTTTGGCAGTAGAACTTATTTGATACAATGTAGATCAATGGATGGTAACTGTTAAACGGTTTTTCGGTCCTTATATTAGTGAGGATTGGCGCCTTCAAACGAGTTTAACCCCGCCACATTCTGTATGTGCCTGTCCCAAGCCAGGAGCCTGTAATTCAGTGGTTGTCGGTTGTTGTTGTGTAACATACTTGTTCTTCGTTCATTATTTTGTACATAAATTAGGCCGTTAGTTTTCTCGTTTGAATTGTTTTACATTTGTCATTTGGGGCCTTTTATAGCTGACTATGCGGTATGGGCTTTGCTCATTGTTAAAGACCGTACGGTGACCTATAGTTGTTAATTTCTGTGTCATTTGGTCTCTTGTGGAGAGTTGTCGTATTGGCAATCAAACTTCATCTTCTAATTTTTATACTTAATGATCTAATCAAGGTCTTTCCACTCCGTTAGGAAAGACCTTATTGTTTTTCAAATGTTATTTTTTCTTCCAGCATTGTTTTAACATGCCCTCCCCTCGTTTCTATTGGAGTTATCAAGACCAAATATGGCCCATCGATGGTACTCATCATGAAATATTACCAGATCACCCTGTTAAGGATTTCATCATCACCTTTAGAAGTTATCTCCCTTTTATTGTTTTTTTTTCAACATGGTCCCCCTCGTTGTTTTGAATGATATCATGACCTTATTTGTACAATAGGTAGATCTAATCATGATGTTTTACCATATGAGGCTGCGTAGGATTTCATCATCCCCTTTGAGAGTTATATTCCCTTGAAGCAATTTCTTTAATTTGCATTTTTCTTAAAAAGTATTAGAGATAGAATCGAATTGAAAATTGGAAATGGCAGCATGTACAAGAACAGATGGCAATGTAACTAAACATAAACAATTAGTTTGTTATCAACCCTTATAAGGAGTTATTTCCCTTTAAAAATTATACACAATTTTTGAAAAATTCTATTTTGAGAACCGGAAGTCGTAGAGACTTTGGACCTGCATCAATAATCTTTAATTCATGTGACCTTTAATTTGCACCCAAGGTCAAAGGTCACCGAGTGCAAAAAATAATAATGCTGCAATTTCAAGCTTACATATTAGGAAAACGATAAGAGTTTGCTGCATACATACTGTGTATAAAATGTTCCTCTCGACGAGCTCTACATTTTACACATTAAGCTCAAAACTGTCCGACCGTCTGTTCAAAAGTTACAACGAAATAATTCTTAAACGTATAGTAGTGTGTGTATATATTTTTAAAGGTAACAACCTACTATAAATTGCAAAAATGATCAGTATTTAAAGACCTTCAATTTGAGGTCAATGTCAGGTCATGATGAAATTCTACCTTGACCTTCAAAGTGTACCATGACCTTGACCTTGTGACATTTGAAAGGTCAAGTGGTCCTGAGTTGAATGGTGGTAGTCCCATGTCTCTGCGACTTCCGGTTCTTAAGTTTGGTATTGCATCATATATTTGATTATTCATTGTGACCTTGATGAACCTCGGAATTGTCCAATTCTAAAATGTTGTACTTCAACTGCAAATCATTTATCACTTACATGTAGCAGATTTGAGATATTTGTTGTGGTTTTAGAGATAATGCAGTTTGAAATTATGCGCGCGGAGGCATGTATTTCTGAATCAACAACAGCTTACCATCTAAAATTTTGAGAAATTGAAGAGTCTTACATGGTTTCATGTTTGACTAATTACCAAAAACATTCAATGAAAAACCCCCCAAAAAAATCAATTTGAAATTTTCATTTTTTGCATTGTTTTTGTAAGTTTCATAAGTTCTATTTATATAATTGATATTGCATCATATTTGGCACTTTACCATATGCGGTCATTTGGTATATCAAATTGAAGGTCTAAATGAGCTCTACTCAAAAATGAAAATTTTAAAACCCCTTTTTCATCACAGTGGGAAGGGTTGGGTCATTTAGTACAAAAATTTCAAACTTCTCAGATGGTTAGGTTGTCGCATATCGAATGAAAGTCCATAAAGCGTACATTTCAAATATCAAATTGACGTCCCCTAAAACGGGTTGGGTGGGGTCATTGAGTGCAAAAAAAAGTCTCATAAGGTAAGGTTGTTGTATATCAAATGAAAGGTCATAATGTGTACATTTCAAATACAAAATTCCTCTCCTCCAAAAATGAGTTAGATGGGGTTATTAAGTACAAAAATCAAACTTTCTAGAAGATGGTGTTGTCGCATAGCAAATGAAAGGTCATCAAGTCTACATTACAAATATCGTACTTACCATCTAGAAAATTAAGGTGGATATGGTCATTAAGTGCAAAAAGTGAAAAGTTTCAGAAGCTATGCTTGTCGCATTTCAAATGAAAGGTCGTAAAGAGTGCATTACAAATATCAGACTTTAAATGGAAAGACCTTTCAATTGTTTTACAAACAATTGAGATACTAGTTTGATAATAATACTTGGTTTATATAAATACAGAAACTGTTAATGGGCTATTGTCTTCCAATATACGTGTAATCAAACTCAATATAACGTTGGAAATGCTTGTGAATTAAAGTAAAACATATTTTTCTCCCCATTGACACTGGTTCAAATAAGTTTTTATGCCATTGTACTTCCCAACAAGGGGAAATAATTCGTATTCAATTAAAAAATTTCGAAATCAGATTCTGCATTTCGGAAGTGAGTTTCAAGAAAGTCTAAAAAAATAAATAAGCGACTGGTTGACATCATGTATTACCCGAGTTTAATCAAATCTATTTTCTAAATAAGTCTTTGCACACAGTTGAACATTCGTTTAAATATTGCATAACTAATATTATAACTTACCTCAATGAAAGCAGTACAATTTGGCAAAGGAAATATTTTATCAAATGTAAGATCGATTGTCAGATTTCCTTCAGATTTGTTTGTGTAAACCATTGCCTTTGTGTCCGTCTCTGGGGGATCTTGAAGTATATTTTATTTAATAAAGATTTGTAAATAAAGAGTAAAATCATTGTCCGAAACGGTTGTGATAAAATATTTAGGATATGATATCAATATAATCTTGTAAAATTATTTGTTTGCAGCTTCTAAACATAACAATCGAATCATGGAACGGATCAAGATGTGTAGTTGTGATTGAATGGTATGTCCTTCGGAAAACAATCGTATGCTAACATGTGTGTGCTACAGAACAATCTACAATTGTCATCAAATATGGGAAAATGCCATTATATTGTACTATGTAAAAGCATTCATATCGATTTGAAACTCGTATTTCACGATAGGTATAGTGTCCGGCTGGGACCATGGTTTTTCGAGTGATTTAATCGGGTTTTTTCGAGTGTGGCCACTTTTTTCGAGTGCATATGATCAAAAATGTAAACAAACAGACTTCCTTTCTGCGTGGTAAAACGTGAAAACCGATGCTCGAACCTTATGTACAAAATCATAAAGGGTAAATTAGTATTTTTGATAAAAAGATATTATCAACCCTTAACCATTTTGTTCTGAAAACGTCAAATATATCCTTACAATGCTTTATTCCAAAATATATATTAAAGCATTTTTTATACACATACCAATGTAAATATCAACAGAAATGTGCACATTGAATCTATGTATACTTAGATATACAGGCATTTTACAAAAATTCTTGTTTTTGCAATAAAAGGACATTTTGGAGAGTAAACTCATTTTATATATCCGTGTTTTTTCGAGAGCAGTCCGTGTTTTTTCGAGTGTGTCCTTATTTTATCAAGTGAAATAAAACAAAATTCCTATGGCTAAAAATGTAATATGTCAGTGCATTTACGTTTAAAAAACAACAAAAAGGTTCAAATACAGTACTTTTCAAAGCACGAAACAAAACATTAAACCAGTTTAATAATGCTGTATTAACACGTACATGACACAAAAAGTCATCCTTCATTTGCATTCAGCAATCTTCATGTTTGTGTACCGATATGGATTTCATACAGTAAATATTTGGTGATGTAAACATTCTTTATGCGAGCCCAGACATGTTGGACTGAGACGTACGTACACATAGTGTGTAAAGCTGGTAAATGTGTTTTTTTACATAAAATATATCCTTAATGTTTCATTTACTATTTGTCTTGATGGAAATATTAGCTATCTTGCTGTAATCAGGGGTGTACAGAATTTAAAAAATGTTGAAAATATATACACTCTGAGGCGCAGCCGAAGGTCGTATGCATTTTAAACATCAATGTAAAATTCAGTACACCCCTGACTTCACCGAGATATATAACGAATTTATTTCCTATTAAGCGTTCGTTTACATTTTTTATTCCCGGGAATAAATAGAAAAAAAAATCTTATGATGACCAACTTCAAATATACATTTTTCAACACCGACGTTGTTGTGCATTTTTATAATATTGTCTATTTAATTTCTTTTTCTTTTTCGGAAAATTTGGAAATTTTATTATTTTGGAAATATTCGAGAATATTTTCTTCTTCCTTTGTTTTTTTGTTTTTTTTTTTTTTTTGTGGGAAAAAATTCAAAATTTTATTTCTTTTTAAATAAATCTAAAATCATTTTTTTTTTTTTTTTCCAAAATTTTAATTTTCATAATTTTGGCAAATATTTAATTTTATGGAAATTTTGGCAAATTTATTTTTTATCGACCGTTCCTTGCCAAAGGGGAACGTCCGTTTGGATGTGTGTGATGTTCAAGTACGCAGCCACGTCCGGTCAGAATGGAGCGTGTAGAGAGAGTGCTACGCTCATTGCACTTTGAGAACGTACCCTTGCAACAGCTCTTTGAAGGATCCGTAGGTGGCCTGTTGCAAGGCAACATTTATGTCCATATCCAATATACTCTGATTTTCAGTGGCAGTATAAATTTCTCGGCCTTTATCCCGAACGTCCTCTGTTACAGTAACTACTTTTTGGATTTATTGTTAAATTGTTCTCGTCCTGAACATGCATGACACATTTGCCACAATGAATCATTTAGAATTGTCTGTTAATAAATTAAAAATTATAAAGAGGCTAAGGTTTCAACTCCATCAGTTTTTATGTCCTTTTGGTCATATAGCATAAAATCATAAAGTGTTGTTTTCATTTTAAACCAGATATTCCATTCAATACAAATGTTAAAATAATTTTAATTTATCAATTCTTAAGGGGGTCCTCTTTTAGTAGAATATTTGGATGTATATTGCATTTTTCTGATTGTTTACACTTTTTCCTTAGTTTTCTTGCTCCTATGTTTTTCGTCACTGCTATATATATCAATCATTAAATATTATTGACTAAAAACAAAGGTAGCATGCAATGAAATTAAAAAAAATTGAGTCCCTGTACTCGATTCTTAAGACCGTTTCAAACGGACCCATTAATTTCTTATATATCGTAATACTGCTAGGTTACGGTAAAATGTTTTCAGAACAGAAAGTTGTCGTTAAATTGAAAAGGGTTTAATTTTATCAACATTGTAAGATGTTTTTTCGTGAATTATTGGTAATATATAATATTGTCCTTCACTTTATTACAGTTATAGACTAAAATGACTTATTTCTTATTCACATTTTCTTCAAAAAAACCCGGACTAATAATTTGTTTAAAAACGCGGAAGTTTGAACTGTTGCTCTCGAAAAAACACGGACAATGCAAAACACTGAATTTTAGGCTAAATACAACGAAATTGTGCGTCTTTTGCGCTTAAAACTTATATAGTATTTAAAATAAGATGAACAGTCATGAATAAAACTATTATAATTGCGAAATAGCAGGTAATTGACCTGATCGAAAAAACCCGATCTACACTCGAAAAAAAGTGGACCGATTCAGTCGAACAAAAATACGATCTCTGCCGGACACTATACCTACCGTGTATTTATCAAAATTAACATCTGGTTAAAAAAGTGTAAAGGATTAAAACCATGTTCATTGAGAAGAAAGGGACTTCTGTTTCCTAATATTTATTTCAGTATTTTTGATATTATTTCAATTTCAGGCAGACGTAATTGTAAGGTTCAGTCAAAATAGGTTTTGTTTCTCAAATAATTGTTGACAAAAACAATTATTGTGTCTTTGTCTATTTTCTAAATATAAAACCATTTTTTTCAATCTAAACGTACAAAAAAGTCTTTTATCTGATCTTTTCAACATAACTTTTTTTGTGTTCAGAAATTATTTTGATGCTAAGTATTGACGTTAGGCAAACACAAATATTTCAATGAAAAATTAGTTATAGGTTCAGAAGGGGTTACAGTGGAATGCTAGTACTGTTCGGTACATTCAAGGCAAATCAATTACATTTTCGAACTTCACAAAGAGACAAAAAAGATGTACAAGTATTGCAAACTTAACAATTCTTTCTTTATTTCAATTCAAATTTAACCATCCTAATATTCATAATCATGTAAGTTCTTACTTACATTCAAAATTATCTGAAGTGATTCCTAATTTCTTTGTTTCCGTTTTGAAACTGTATCGACATTGGTATTTGCAATTTAAATCTGAATCTGTCACGTTGTTTATCTGCAGCTTAAACTGATTTCCATTTAATAGTATTTCTGCATATTTCAAAGGATCTCTAGGATGACCATTATAGCAAATAAGTTCGTGTCCTTTAGACCACTGTCTTGTCAAGCTTCTGTTGAGGTTTTCTACACCATAGACGGTGCAAACAAGGCTCATGTTTTTACCAATATGTATTATGTTTGGCTCAACATTCCATGTGACTACAAATATAAGTGAATTATAATTTCAGTAATACATGAAATATCATTTTTGCGTCACCATTTCGCAGCTTATTTTGTTGAAAAATCGCAAAAAAAGCAGGGAGGAACAAAGAATTTCAATTCATACATTAATACAGTATGTTTTTGTTTTTTATTTGTAAGTTCGTTTTTGCTACTATCACAAGTTCACGGTCCTTTTTTACATTCTTTGTTAGAGAGTGTATAAGTAGGTGTGCAAATTTTCGGACGAACCAGAAATTAAAAAAAATAGCTTGCATTTTTGTTTTGTGCACGAGACATCGAATAATTAGCTACGAGCACATGTGAAATAAAAATGCAGACACATAATGACAATGAACCACATTCTACATGAAGGCAACATTCATAAAAAAGGAGCAGGCACACGGGGAACAATTAAACACAATAGATCACAAAGGCAAATTACTCATGCTGATCATTAAAAGTCATTGCAACTTACAAAAAATTATTTATGTAACACGAGTCCTGTGAGCTTAAATTGGTAAACTTTTCATCCATTTTTTCATTTTGACATAGAACTTTAATCAACGTGCAGACATCTTATACGTTCAGGTATTTCACATCCAATCTTTTATGGTAATATTCTATACAAAGCGCAAAAATGTCGTCATTCACTTCAAAATCTAACCATTGAAACCTTTAAATAAACTTGATCAGAAGAGACAAAGTTACGATACTGTTGTTTATTTTACATTGGCTAGAGGTATAGGGGGAGGGTTGAAATCTCACAAAATATGTTTGACATCGCCGCATGTATGCGCCTGTCCCAAATCAGGAGCCCTTGGCATTTGTAAGTCTTGTATATAGTTTTTCAATTTTGGTTCATTTATATGTTCCGGAGTTTATTGTGACATTCATTTTCGCTTAACAAGTACACATTTTTGTTTAGGGGCAAGCTGAAGCCCGCCTCGGGTGCGGGATTTTCTAGCTGTCTTGAAGACCCATTGGTGGCCTTGGGCAGTTTTTTTTATGCTTTTTGGTCGGGTTGTTGTCTCTTTGACACATTCCCCGTTTCCAATCTCAGTTTTAACTTTAATTGCTATTAACAAATTAAACGACATACGAATAGATATCTAGTACACCTTATCAAGTCATGAACCATGTAATTGATTGTCAATGACAAATTTTAATTTGCCATGCCTGAATGTGCTTTAGTCGTTTGAGGGGATTGTTGTTGATGGCAGGACTTTTATAGTCTCCTGAAACACATTCTACACTTTTAGACTCAGGAGGATTTAAATTGTACAGCTTATCGTGATGTATAGACACATGTGCAATGTTAAAAACAGTAGTTTATTTCTATATATATCTTTATTTTTTTTATTTTATGTAGTATATGAATGCAGAATCAGTAAAATTTACTACACATTTTTTATTCGTGATATTATTCATAACAAATACAAAAATGTTAAGTATAAGATGAATATCGATATCACCCAATTTAACTATTGGGATTTGTTCTTTGGTGAACGTTTTGACGGCTATTGGTACTTTACGGAACGGAACGGAACGGAATTTCATTTAAGGTATCCATAGGGGGTGTGTATAAAAATTTCGAAAAATCTTTGAAACAATACAAACTTTAAATTTCTCTGTTTACGGTTTTTAATATACAGATAACACAATGTAAAATGTGTTATAATGTATAACATCGGGAAATATCCTGTAGATGTACATTCATGTCCTGATAAATATTCATGAATTTGACGCATTGGCAGGTTAGAGAAAAAAGTCTTCCACCTTGCATTCATTATGATATCTAAGAAGACAAGATCTCCCGTCGTCCTTTCCGACGATGATTAGAAACATTGATTCTGAATTTAACTTTTTAAATTTGTTATTCCGTTCCGTTCCGTTCCGCAAAGTACTAATTGCTCTGAAGAATTGGTATTTAACGGAATGGAACGGAAACAGATTTCTATAATATAATATAGCAGTATGATAAAAAAAATATTGTCCTACACCTCTTTTTTTAAATAAGTGGTAAGTGTTTTAGATATGCATTCAATAACCGAATCAATAATTTATATGAAATAGGCAAGTCAGACAAAAAGTATTACTCATTCGTAATTATATCTAAGAAGACAAGCTAGACCTCCTGTCGTCCTCTCCGACAATGGTAAGAAACACTGATTTGGATTTAAAAAAAAATAATTTGTCATTCCGTTCCGTTCCGCAAAGTACCAATTGCTCTGAGGAATTGGTATTTAACGGAAGAAAACAGACATTCATAATATAATTATAGCAGTATGATAAAACAAAAATTATCTTAGAACTATTTTTTTTTAAATGAGTGGTAAGTGTTCTAGAAATGCATTCAATAACCAAAAATCAGAATCAATTTCTAATCATCTTCGGAAAGGACGACTGGAGGTCTCGTCTTCTTAGATATAGCTACGCTTGAAAGGAGTAATATTTTTTAATTACTCATTCGTAATTATATCTAAGAAGACAAGATCTCCCGTCGTCTTTTCCGACGATGATTAGAAACATTGATTCTGAATTTAACTTTTTAATTTTGTCATTCCGTTTCGTTCCGTTCCGCAAAGTACCAATTGATCTGAGGGATTGGTGTTTAACGGAATCGAACGGAAACCGATTTCTATAATATGATAAAAGCAGTTTGATAAACAAATATTGTCTGACACATCTTTTATGGCATGAGTGGTAAGTGTTTTGGTGTTTATTCTATAATATTTGTTATATCAAATTTGGAATGATTTGCTAGAAAATTCTATTAGTTTCTGCATGTTATGTATAATCTGTTGGTACTGAATATATGAAAAGTACGGTATAGACTTGCAAATCCCATTCGAGATATACAAGTCAAAGCGTCGTAATTTACATGCATGATACATGAATAATACATTGTATTGTAGCAAAGATTGCATAGAAATAGACAACACTAAGCAATGTATTGTTGATCAAGTTGAATCTGATTTACAACTTTTTAATTTATTATTCTGTTTCGTTCCGTTCCGTTCCGCAAAGTACCAATTGCTATGAGGAATTGGTATTTAACGGAATCAAACGGAAACGAACATCTATAATATAATACTAAGTAATAGCAGTATGATGAAAAAAATTGTCGGACATCTCTTTTTTGGCATGAGTGGTAAGGGTTTTGGTATTTATTCTACAATTTTTGATGTATCAAAGTTGGAATGATTTGCTCGAAAATTCTTTTATTACTTTTTCCATGTTGTAGCAAAAATTGCATAGAAATAGACAACATTAAGCTATGTTTTGTTGATCAAGTTGAATCTAATTTAAACTTTTTAATTTTTTAATCCGTTCCGTTCCGTAAAGTACCAATTCCTATGAGGAATTGGTATTTAACGGATTCGAACGGAAACGAACATCTAATATAATTAGAGCAACTTATGATAAAAACAAATTATCTGATACATCTTTTTTGGCATGAGTGGTAAGTGTTTATAAGATAGCATTCTCGACGTGATCAATAATTATGAATTTAACACAAATGAAGGTTAGATAAAAATTCTTTCTCCTTCCATTAGTAATTATATTTTAAAAGAGGGCCTTCCATCGCCCGTTCTAACGATGATTAGAAACACTGATGAAGTTGAATCTGATTTAAACTTTTTAATTTATTATCCCGTTCCGTTCCGTTCCGCAAAGTACCAATTGCTATGAGGAATTGGTATTTAACGGAATCCAACGGAATAATAAATTAAAAAGTTTAAATCAGATTCAACTTCATCAAAAATACATTGCTTAATGTTGTCTATGTGTATGTAATCTTTGCGACAATACAATGCATTATTCTTGTATCACGCATATGAGTTAAGACGATTTGATTTGTATGTCTCGAAAGGAATTTGCAATTCTATACCGTATTTTTCACATATTCAGTACCAACAGATTATACACAACATGCACAAGATAATAGAAGAATTTTCGTGCAAAACATTCCAAATTTAATTTAACAAATATAATAGAATAAACACTAAAACACTTACCACTTATGCCAAAAAAAGATGTGACAGACAATTTTTTTATCATACTGCTATTATTATATTATAGATGTTTGTTTCCGTTCGATTCCGTTAAATACCAATTCCTCATAGCAATTGGTAATTTACGGAACGGAACGGAACGGAATAATAAATCAAAAAGTTTAATTCATATTCACCTTGATCAACAATACATCGCCTAGTGTTGTCTCTTTGCTTCAATACAATACCAATACAATGTTATATTCATATATCACGCATATGAATTAAGACGCTTTGATTTGTATGTCTCGAAAGGGATTTGCAAGTCTATATCGTATTTTTCATATATTCAGGTAGGGGCCTCGGTAGCCAAGTGGTCTAAGTAGCATCAAGAGAAAAAGGTAGTTCTACTACTGTTATCACTAGCCAGTCAACACTGAGGTTGTGAGTTTGAACCTCGCTCGTGCGGGGGCACTCGACTCCAATCTTAATAACAGACTTGCCGGTGTCCTAGCACTCCCTTTTAGTGTTGGGGTGGGGATTGTCCTTGTAATTATTGTTGTAAATACGTTAGCGACACATCTCTATTAATCCCGAAAGGGAGTGTACATGCATGGATTCCACTGTACCCTCGCAGCTCTCGAGGGGTGCTCCGAATAAGGAGGAATCTACCAGTACACACATACAAGCTAGGACTATCAGTTTTCCTATCGAAGGTCGGTGGTTTTCTCCGGGTACTCCCGCTTCCGCCAACCATACAAATTGACCGCCACGAAATAGCCCAGAAGTGGCGCTTAAAAATGGCATTTAAACACCAACAATCAACCAATCATGTATTCAGTACCAACAGATTATAATACACAACATGTACAAACTAAATGAAGAATTTTCGAGCAAATCATTCCAAATTTGATATAACATACTGCTTTTATTATACTAATATAGATGTTCCGTTCGATTCCGTTAAATATCAATTCCTCTTAGCAATTGGTACTTTGTGGAACGGAACGGAACGGAATAATAAATTTTAGATGTTTATATCAGAATCAATGTTTCTAATCATCGTCGGAAAAGACGACCTGAGGTCTGTCTTCTAAGATATCATAATCGGAATGAAAGGAGTAAGACTTTTTCTCTGACCTGCCAATGCGTCAAATTCATGATAATTTACAGGACATGAATGTACATCTACAGGATATTTCCTGATGTTAATACATAATTACACATTTTACATGTGAAGATGAGATTTAGTATTCAATTGTGTTATCTGTATATTGAAAACCGTAAAGTTAATTTTGTTTTAAAGATTTTTCTAAATTTTGATAGATGCCCCTATGGATACCTTAAAAGAAATTCCGTTCCGTTCCGTTCCGTTCCGTAAAGTACCAATAGCCCGTTTTGACTTGGTTATAATAAAAGTAATTGTTTGTCTTTATTTAATAGATTTGATTTCAGAACATTTAATTTCAAACGTAATAACAATATTAATACAACTAATAAAAGTGCAACAATGAAAATTATTTTTTTACTTTGTATTTCTTTGGAAAAAAAACCCCAGAAAATCCTAGTGCAAAACATAACATTTTGAAGTATTATCAGTATATTAAATAACTTGTTACTAAGATAAACATACCAATTGTCTTCGTGTTGACTGATTTGACTATTGACAGCATCAACCAAATTATGCAACGTTCTGTTAATCCCATGTTTTACACTTCTTTAAAGAACTTTTGAATATTAAAATATGCAAGCTTTGTTACAAAATGTACTATCATAACATCTCATTTTTCAGATACATCTATACAAATTGCGTTACACATTAATGTTAGAATAAACTTTAAAGAAAATTTAATTTAAATTCTCTCACATGTACGCCCTCGAATAAGAAAACATATAATTAAAAGAAATGAACAATTTGCCAGATATCTATCACTAACATGTCAAAATAACATGTTTTGTTGTTAAGACCCTTATTGTATTAATGCTCTAAAATATTTTTCGTATTTGTCTACCCAAAACGGATTAACTATATCATGAAAATCTAAACATTTTCATATCCATGTACGATTAATACTAACATGGATGTGCATTTTTTTTAATAGAAGTTGCAAGAAAATCAATAGATGTATGTTACCAAATTCATGTGGTAGCGTGATGGTCTTTAGAATTTTAGAATAGGGATGATGGGATTGATACACTTCGGATCAAACCAAAGATTTGAAAATCCACGTTTGCTGCATTTCCGGTAATCATCTGCAATTTAGGAATAAATGCAAAAGACTAATCGGCTCGGAATCTGAAAAATGTGTCCGTGTATAGTTGCATATCTCCCTGCAATCTGTTAAATTTACCTTTGGAACTAGCACGATTGGAAATCCGGCACAAGGTGTCGGTGAAGTACAAAAAGGGGTTTTAGATTCATATAACACATGTAATGTTCTAGTCCTGATTTGAATATATGATACTTGCCACTGGACGGTTAAACACCTATCCATTCATCTAGTCATTCATATTACCTTGACAATTTAAAAATAAGTCAGCAAATGAACTGCTTATTCGTGTTGAAGGTTTGCTGTATCATCACTTAAATTTTCTTTAATAGTGTGAATTTTGTGGATCTATGATTACGATTGATGGTTGCTTGCTAAATATCAAATAGAAAATTGTGTTTGCATGCTTTTGTCGAGAATACATGGCCATCTCAAGCTGATTTGGTAATTTTAATTGCTGTTACACCACTGTCTCAATGTAGGGGAGGGTTAAGTGCTTGTTCCTAAGCCCCCCCCCCCCCCACCCCCCCCCCCCCCCCACTTCCGACATCATGTATGTGCCTGATTTAAGTCATTAACCTGTTATCCAGTGGTTGTCGTTGGTTGCAGTCTGTTAGGTTTGTTTTTCGTTAATTGTTTTAGCATAAATCATACTGTTGTTTGTTATTTTCCTCGATTTAATTGTTTCACATTTTGCCATTCCTGCTCCATTTAGACCTTACTATATTGTATGGCCTATGGATTTTGTTCATTACTGAATGCCGTGCAGTGACCTATAGATGATTTAATACATCCATATCATTTGGACTCTGGTGGATAGTTGTCTCTTCGGCAATCATACCATATCTCAGTAATTTTATCGATGTTCAGACAGCAAAATCATGATAGAAATGATTGTCTGCAAGAGAACATATATTCTGCATGCAAAAGTCATGCTTTGCTTTAGTTACAACATAGGTTTACAACAAACTACCGAATTTCTATTTTACATAAAATCTTCAATATCTTACCATAATAATAGCGTTCAAGGAAAATATTCTTCATTTGAATTTTTATAAACATGATTTTCATTGGTGGTTATTTTTATTTACCAATAAATAAATATAAATGACCTCCTGAACGATCTGAATATTCATAGATTTATGGCTACAAATAGACATAGATATATGTCAGTAATTTGTATTTAAGTCTCAATTAAGAGTAATTTTATTATAAACTCAAACGTAATTGTTCTCTTTTCGAATATGTGTATTTGAGTGAATATAATTATTATTTTAAGATTTATTTTGATAACGATATATCTATAACTAGATTATTCCGGTTAACCCCTGTTTATATATATATAAACATGCACGATATACATATAAAGATTGTATTTCGAGAATCTATTTCAAGTTGAATTAAATCAAAAGAAAAAAGAATCAGAAAGTAAAAAGTACTGAAATGAACGTGCGAAAGATCTTACCGTATTTTCTAATTTCTTTTGATATCAAGAGTAGGCTTAATTGAGATTCAGGTCGTCCGTTTATAGCTCCACTATAACTTTCCTTTTTTCGGGCCTTTTTTTGTTTTTGTTTAATCCGAGTCATATTTATTTTTGTATTGTTCAAGTACATCACGTTTATTTTAATATTCCTTAATATAATGTATACGTTTTCAAATAGTTTTAACACAGCTATCATACTTTTTATCAATCATAAATTTAACATTTAGTCATCCTCTTTAGTCAAGCAAGCACCAGCCAATCAATCGTTTACAGAACAGAAATTTGATAGAAATCATACTAATTTGTTTATCATGTTTACTGAGGCTGATTTAACACAAATTGTGCTTGTATACTATGCATTTCGTTATCACAAATTACTTAAAACCTTTACTGAATGCTTCCATAGATACACAGATTTGGTTTGCAAGTTTGGCTGTACCTGTAGAAAACTTTATTTCAAACGGAATAGCACATCCTAAATAATTTTACGGTGATGTAGTTAACCATAGATGTATAAACCCATATATGTATATGGGTTTATACATCTATGAGTTAACCGAGCCCGGAAATTTATATACGACCTGGGTAAACTTATCAATCCTTTAAATAAACTTTATTCTAAAAGGTTACCTATTCAACACTGTAATAAAATTTTTGAATATTGTTTTTATTGGTATAAATATTGATGTTCTTATCAGTAAATTAAAGCCATACTAAATATTACACATATGTACCTTCACGGTACAACAATCTGTCGATACCTATATTTTGGCATTGCACAAAGTCATGTTTTTCTCTGACTTTTAATGCCGCCTTTACACTAAATCCATTGGATGTTGGATGCGTACTGATTGATATTTTAGTCTTAGATACATGATTTTTTTATTAGTTGTTATTGGTTTTGAACTATAGCTGTCAGTAACTGCGAGTACTCTCAGATCTGTAATTAGTGTCTTTTTGTTGTTAAAGATAAGGGTTGGATATATCGAAGAAGGCATGATTGCTTTCTCGTCTGGTAAAACAGTCTGCTCACTCTGAAATGATTCTTTAAATTGAGGTGGATTGGCTTCTTTTCTGCTAATATACTCTTCAGTCACACCTCCACCAATCATGTTCTTGTTTTCAAATATATTAAGTTTTAGTCTGTCGTCTTCCGGTGTATTCTGTTTCAGATCAATGAATAGACTCCCATATGGTCGCTGTGTCCCCTCTTTGTACTTATTCATGAATTTCTTTGGATTATTAGGATACATCTGTCTAGCAAATATGGCTGGCCTAACTTGATCACGTGGGTTTTTTAATAGGAGTACATATTGGCTATTGATGCTCATGGTTCGACTTTCCTTTCCCTTCGAGAACGCATTCTGCATTATACAAGCTACACTTAGGTTTCGGTGATGACTTCCCTCGACAAATAATTCGCACACATCCTTACTATTAGTGGCGTCTCTCATTAAATCGTCTAGAATGATTAAACTTGGATATCTTGAGTCTATGAATGAATCATCATTCAAATTTTCAGGTAAACCTTGAACAAACAAAATGTTTTTAATGGTCTGTTGCATTTCACTAAATAATGGCTGCCATCGTTTATAACACCATATTATCCTCTCTGGTGATGGTGTTATCATAGTCCGTGCTCTCTCCAATAATGTTTTCATCCAAAACGTCTTACCTGAACCAGTAGGTCCAGCCAACATCAGAGTGAAGGGATGATGTAGTATGACATTATGTGGCGGCTGTGGGCTATTCCCTTTCTGCGGAGGTGGAGGTGGAGGCGGTGGAGGCGGCGGCGGCATGCTATCTTCCTTTTGCGGAGGAGGCGGAGGCGACGGAATCGACTGTGGATATACACCATTACTCTGTAGATATGATTGACTAATTCCATGTTTATTTCTATGATGTTGCAACATATTATCTTTTCTTGAAAATCCTATCTTACACACGGGACAAGTAGTAGACATCTTATAGAGCTCTCTAAACACGTCCACTTCCTTCCAATGACAGACGTAGAGTGATTAAAATATTGATTTGCATCCTTATTATATTCTCCAATGTCCATAGGCCAACTTTGTATCCCATCATTTAGTAAGTATCTTTTATCATCATAAGGGGATAAGCCCAGTTTGTTGATAAATATATTATATAACGTGTGGTCATATGAACGGATCTGTGTCATAGTAGACATGTGGATTTCTTTATTGAAAAAATATTGTTTATAATGTTCGTGTCTTGTGTCATGTTTGATCACACTCTTCTTTATACCCTTCGCCGTCGTCTTCTCGCATAGGTTTTTATTCTCTTCATATATCAATGAGTACATCTTTGACTTGAGACCAACAGATTCCTGTATGGGAATACCATGTGTTTCGTCTTTCATCTTCCCTAACACCTTTTCATTTAATGTGCTGTGACGCCGATGTTCAGGGTTATATTCTGACGTATCAAACAAGTGTTTGTCCTCCATCATATCTTGATATATATCATCAGTGTTGATGTTGTAGCATAGCGAGTCGGTATCCATAAACAAGAGTGTTGCTCTAGACCCATATTTATCCTTCATATAATTATAATGAAAATCGTACATAAGTGTCTTTGACAAATCGAGTATAGTGAATCCCACGTAGATGGGTCTGTTTAAGTATAATCGTTGCTTCAACATGTGAACAGCCATCAAGTCATCGTTGAATATTTTGAAGGCATGAAATGTTGGTTTGCTGATTAATTTTTTGGCTTTTTATTGGTCATTTAAAAGCTTTATATCTGTTCTCTTTCTTAAATTTTCCATTGTATTTCCAAAGACTGCATTATTCATGAGTTTAAAAAAATCCTTTTCGAACTCGTTTATTGCAAGCTTTCTCTTCTCTGTGTTGAAATCAATATAGGTCTTTAACCAGGGTCGTTGTTCAAATGCCATGACCTTATGATTCTTTGTTAGTGTCATTCCAAGTGATAAATAGAGTTTTAAATTTCTGTAATGTACCACGTAGTTTTCCTTTGGATATAAA